CCACGCCTTCTTCCTGCCGGTGACGGAGGTGGTTGCGCTGCGCCACCCGCCGAAGGAAGCGCAGAGGCTTGGGGCGCTTGCCTTCACAAAACTGTTCCCACGCATACTTGGGTCCACGCTTCTGGATGTGGGTGCGGCCTCAGTGGGCCCTGGAAACGACAGGGCCGTTTTTCTACCAGTTTCGTTTTGCCATTAGTCTTAATGGTACGGATGCCGTTGTTGTTTCCAGTTCCGTCACCGTTTGTGTTGCCGGTTCATGTTTTGGTTTCATTTTTGGTTAAATTTGTTGTCGTTTCCGGTTGTCGTGTATTAACCGTTCCCATTTGCAGGTGACCATTTTTCGGAAACGGTGGAGAAACGGCCTTGCCGTTTCCGGGGCCCACAAGGGTGTGCGTGCGGCACATCGGTGTAGGCATATGAGCATCACCTGAGTGTATACGCACAAAGAGGGGAGGGCCACCAGACTACGACCCCAAGCTTTCATGGCAGAGCTGGGGGCCTTTCGGGCCCAGGGCCATCTTGGAGCGCCCGCGCACTTCGTCTGAGCGCTCCACGAGCTTCGCATACCGCCGAATCCCTGCCAGCATCGCAAGCGAGAGACTTGCGGACACCAGGTAACCCTCTCCACAGCTGGACCGGCCCGGCCCAAAGGCAAGTCTCATCGGGCGGGGCGAGGACGATGATGAATCCGTTCCACAGCGTTCCAGAACGCTCTCAGAGCGTTCCAGGACGCTCTGAGAAGGCCGCGGTGCCTGAGACATCTTCCAGAGCCGCCAGATCTCAGGGATACCCGATTCATTTTCGTCTGATTTTACCTTCGTCCTGGCTTCGTCTGACCCCAGCCAGCACACAGATCAATCTGTTGGGCTTCCTATGTCCTGGGGCATCTCTCAACCTAGACACTCTTTGGTCAGACGTTGCTCCGACGGGGCCTCGGAGACGCAGCTCCATGCCCCAGAGGCCCCGAGAAACTTTCCACTGGGGGGAGAAACGAGGTGTCCAGGGACTCGGGAGCGCAGTGGGTGTGCCGAAGCGAGGATGCATGCAGCCGTCTTGAGAGGGCTGGCTGAGGGCCTCTGGAAACGCATGGGCCACGAAGTGTGCGAGGGATGCGTGGCGGAATGAGATTCCTTTGAGCAATTTGGACTTCCCCTCCTCCTCCTCCTCCTCCTCTCCTCCTCCTCCTCCTCCTCCTCCTCCTCCTCCTCCTCCTCCTCCTCCTCCTCCTCCTCCTCCTCCTCCCTACCCCTCCTCCTACTTCTCCTCCTCCTCCTCCTCCTCCTCCTCCTTCTCCTCCTGGAGGCGAGCGATGAACACGGATCTATGCAGCCGTCTGGGAGAGCAGTCGGGGGTCTCCGGAGTTCCATGGGCCACGGAGTTCGCGGGGAGCTTGCGGAGATGCGGCCCCACATGAGCTGTTTTGAGCGGCTGATTCGGCGCCTCCACGGCAAGGCTCGTTTCGCTCCCTCCGATTCGATCCGATTCGATTTCGATGGATTCTGATTCCGATTCGATTTGCATTCGGGATCCGATTTGGTATCTCATGTTCCAATCTGGAGGCCTACTAGCCTGCCGATGCTTGCATCAGTTTTCCCAGCCACCCTGTGGTGTTGGGTCATCGGTCATCGTTTTGAAGAGACTCTCGGTCCCCGCGTTCTCCTTCCTTCCTTCCTTCCTCACCTCCTCCTCCTCACACGTTTCGTGGCCCCGTAGTGAGCTCCACCCAAGGCCCCAGTGGCACGTCCCCAGCGTCTGGGAGTGGATGAGATAGCGCCGACTCAGCGTCGGTTAGCGTCGATTGGCGTCGAATAGTGTCGAAGAGCGTCGATTCGCAAGGGCCGACAAGATGAGACGGGAGGCTCTCGTGAGTTGCCAACGAAGACAGGGGTCAGTCAGGGCGCTGGACCCTGGGTTCCTGCAGATCGGGCGGGTGGTCATGGGGGGTGACCTGAATGGGGGGTGAGGTGAATGAGGGCTCGACAGGGTTTAGGCCCCCGTCTGGGCCCCTGCTGGCTCCAAAGGGTGCCCCAAAGTGCCTCACCCCCGTTCAGGCCACCCCCCATTACCACCCGCCCGAGCAGAGCCAGTGGTGCACTGTCACGGGCTTGGGCGCAGGATCCTGATCCTGCAGGATCCTGCAGAACCTGACTGGCCCAGGTCTGCATTGACCGGGGTCAGTATAAGAAGCCCGACCCGACCCATTTTTTGCTGGTCCCGGGGCCCGATGACGGGCCGGGGAGGGCCCAAAAATTGACGAACCGCGCCCATGGATTGAAACAACAATCTCGCCGTCGGAGATCTTGGAGCGTCGGTCGGCGATCGACGATCGGCGTGGATCGACGAATCGCCCCCGGAGCCCGAGTCTGACGTCTCCCCGATGCTGCCCCGCGCCCGCACCTCCTCCGGGCGGTATCTCCAGGAGCTGGGCCTCCAGGGCGCGCTGGTGCGCCGTGGCGTGTCGCGCGGGGAGGAAGCGCTGTGGGTGGCGCGGCTCTGGAAGGACGCCCCTGCCCGCGGCAGTCGTCGCCGCCGTGGCCTCGAGGACCCCAGGCCTCCAGCGTCCTGGAAGGTCCATTCGGCCCTCCCTCCTCATGCTCCTCCTCCCCTCCTCTTCCTCCTCCTCCTCCTCCTCCCTTTTCCCTCCTGTTTTCCTCCCTCCTCCCTCCTCCTCCCTCCCTCCTCCTTCTCATCTTTCCCCTGCGTCTCCTCCGAGCTGGTCTCGGATTTTCGGGACGATCTCAGGGCGCAGCTCTGGCGCAGCGCGTCCGAGCACGTTTTCGGGGAAGGTCTGGGTGAGGGGGCCGACCTCGTCCCTACTCAGGCCCACCTCGCTCGGCTGCTCGAGAGTAGGTCCGATGACCAGATAGGCCAACTTGTCACAGTCACTGCTGGGGGCAATGGCCCCACGATCGTCAGATTGCGGTACTGCCCCCGACTGGTGCTACCATCGCATTTGGACGTGCCCTTGAAATGTAGACAAGCCAGCGTACACAGCGTCCCAGTCGCTCATGTCTCATGTACGAAGCGCAAATAAATTATGAATCTCAGCCGTCCTTCTGGCTGCGTGGGCTTCCCTCTGCGTACCTGACCGTTCCGTCCTTTAGTAAAGGGGTAGGGGACGTGGAGTGGGTCATGGGCTCTGGCGCGGTTGGGGCGCCAGCGCAGCCGCTGGAAGCTCTCGATCGAGATCTTGCTGGAGCCGCGTTCGTGTTCGGGGATGGGTCTGGAGGCCGCCACAGCAGCGACCCACGCCGTCGAAGGGTTGGTGCAGCGGTTTTGTCGCTGAGGCTCACCAGCACGGGGTGGGAGTTGCTGGCAGGAGTTGCCAGCTCGTTAGGGGTGCGCCGACCGACAGTCCCCAGAGCTGAGCTCCGTGCTTTCGAGTTGGCCCCCAGGGCCTTTGACGGCCCCGTCATCTTCGTAATTGATAATGCGGCTCTGCACCAGGGTTGGCTCCGAGGCCGCGCCGAGAGATGGGCGGGCAAGAATGCTGATCTGTGGTTTCGGGTCAGCAGCGCACCGGGCCCGTGCAGGCAGCGTCCAGGTAGTCTGGAGCCCCTCGCACGTCGACCCTGAGAAATTCGCCCTCTCGCCCCTCCAGCGCCACTTCGCTGTCGGTAACGGCCTCGCGGATGAGCACGCTGGGGACGCCGCGGATCGTTCCTGGGAGTTGGCCCTGGAGGGCTTCTTGGGCCCCCGACGCGGACAAGTGAGATTGTACGGCCCACCTCATACGTAGGAGGGCCGTCCAAGCCATGGAAGATGCCATCGCTGCCGCACCGTGGACCTCGACTCGACCGAAGACGGGCCGCGAGACCAAGATTGCGCGGGAGAAGGCTCTCCTGGCGATCTTGCATTGCTGGACTGGGGCCCACAGTACATGCATCTGCCCACTGTGCCACTATATCCAGAATTATCAGGATTTAATTGAAGCCGGGACAGGGTGTCAGGCTGCCGAGTCGAGTCCCGGCCAGGCCGTGGACGTGATAGAACGGGCGGTCAGAGGGGCGGTGGTGGGGGGCAAAACGTTGAACGAGTCCCATCGGCTGTTCTATTGGCCTCGGTTTTCATTGCAGTTCTGTTCCGAATGTGGCAAGACGGCCTCGACGGACCCGCGTCAGCTCACTGGGAAGTGCACATCTTAGAAGGGCCACGAGGACTTGGCGTGGATCCGCAAGGGGAAGCACCCCAGCCATCATGGGTCGTCGGCCGCCGTCATTGAAGCCGATTTCTCCCGGGTGCGACGGAGCGAGGCACGTCGAGGAGTGCACCCCCCTGGTGTTCTATGGTAAGGGGTTCGGCTACGTCACCTGTAGCGCTTATAGAATCACATAAGAACCCCTCCTTCTCCTCTTCACCCCTCCTCCTCTTTCTCCTCCTCCTTTTCGCATATTCGAAGAAACATGGGATGGAGGAGATGGTGAAGGGGTTCGGGAAGGGCGGGCAGATTCAGGAGGTCTATTTCATGGTATCCCAGAGCCTCGAGATTGGGAGGGACAGGAACGATCTTGCCGCCGTCGCAGGCGGCGACATCAAGTCTCACCACGATTCCATCGGCTACTCTTGTCTCGCCAGAGGTTTGCTTGGTCGGGATGTTCCAGTTGGCCTCGTGGCGGCAGTAATTTCACTCCATATGGAGCCCCGTGTACAGATCACGATTCTTGGCGAGGTCTCGGACCCAATTTCTCGGACGAGAGGTCTTCACACTGGTGCCTCTTCTGCTGGGCTCTGCGCTCGAGTGTCGGTCGAGGACGGTCTGAACAAGGCTCGGGAAGTCTGGGTGGAGAGGGAGATGGGTCTGATGCTCAAGTCGGTTCGTCTCACCTTTGCCTCCTGGTCCGACAACCTTTTCACGTTTGCTAGCTCGGTCGAGACCGCCACTGAGATGATGAACATCTTGGAAAACGAATTGAGGGTGAGACATAAGCTCCACATCAAACCTTCCTCAAGATTTGTATTGCGTGCTTCGCCGACCGTCTACCCCGACAGCGAGTATAGGGACAGCCTTGGGAGAGTGTGGGCTCTCACTGCTGCGACCCAGGTGCTGGGTCCCACCATCTCCGTCATAGGTTCGAACTGCGACGACCTGAACAGGACCTGGGAGACCATCAGGAAAGTGTTCTGGAAAAACAGCCGTTTTTTATGCAACACGATCCTCCCGATTGACAAGCGAATCGCGAAGTTCGACTCGATCGCGATGGGCATCATCCGCTCCCGTTCGGCCGCGTGGACTCCGAACCAGGCTGCGATTCGTTTCCTGGACTCCAAACAGATGAAGGTTCTGACGTGGATGCTGAGGCTCAGGAGGCTCCCGCATGAGGAAAGTAGAGCATTCTGCACTAGGCGTGCGCGTAGGATTCGGGGGCTCCTGCAGGTACAATGGGCCCGCATTTTCCTCCAGTCTGTTCTCTCTTGGTTGTCCCACCTCCAGAGGCACCAGGACTCTTTACTTTATCAGTGTTTTCTCGAACAGGGAGCGGACTGGGTTGCTAGCCAGCGCCGCCAATGGATTTCCCCAAACAGCTGCAGTAGTAAGACATTTACTCGGAGTGCTAGGGGCAAGGTCATTCGCTGGGATAACGGGTGGACTAAGACGTTCGACCCTGAAGGTTCCAGAGATCCCCAGCTCCTGCACGCCCTCTCCCTCCGCCTCCTGTCTCACCTTGGTGGCAAGAATAAGGTGCCTGCACGATAGCTTTCAGTCTCAGGGGAGGGCCAGGGATCCGCTTTGGGGAGCGCCTCACTCACTCACTCACTCCTCATCCTCCTCCTCCTTCCTTCTCCCTCCTCCCTCCTCCCTCCTCCCTCCTTCCTCCTCCCTCCTCCTTCCTCCCTCCTCCCTTCTCCCCCCTCCCTCCTCCTCCTCCTCCTCCTCCTCGTCCCCTTCTTTTTTTGACGTTGTGCGAACTTAGAGCCGATGTCTGAAGCGTTACTGGAGATAGCTGGAACAAAGAACGCCGACTTGGCGGAGCGAAAGACACATTGGACCTGCCTGGCGCAGCCGGTCGGGAGAGGCAGAACGAACAGGAAACGAAGAGGGCCCTCCAGGGCTCAGGGTATGCACCAGCCAGGCGGTGTGAGAGGGGGAGGGATCGAACGAACGAAAACCTTAGGAACCTCCGCAAAATAACGAGCAAGTCGACAACGAGGGTAAGAGGGAGCGATAAGCACGTCTTAGGAACCTTCGCAAAAAAACAAACAAGTCGGCAACGAGGGGAAGCGGGAGCGATAAGCACGTGCACAGTGACTAAAGTGGCGACCGTGTCATGGTCCAGTGGGCTCTACCACACGGGTAGCTTCGCCGATTTCCCACCTCCACCTCCATAGTCAAAGATGAGCCCCCCAGCTCCACCAGTAATCAAGGTATGGCAAAATGACGACGAGAAAAAGGGCGATGTGCAGGTGTCGGTACACATTCAGGGGCCTAAATGTTTGCGTGCAAAGGTTGGCGCAGTCTGCGCCGACTGGCCATGCGAGACTTATCCTGGCGAAGGACCCAACCATATGCAGTTGTGAGTAGCGCAGTTGTGAGAAACGTATTCGGCGGAGCTCCGCATGGGGCCACGAAACGTGCGAGGGGTGACGCCGAAACGGGGGTGACGCCCACACTTAAGCACTGCCAGTTGGCCCTTGGGTGGAGCCCCCTTTATGGGGCCACGAAACACGTCAAGAGTGTGCCGAAACGGTGGTGACGCCCACGTCTGAGCACTGCCATTGGCGCCTTCTGTGGTGAAGCTCCCTATGGTGCCACCACACGTGTGAGGGGTGCGCCGAAACGGGGGTGACGCATACTTGCGAACTGCACGACTGGGGCCTTGAGGTGGAGCTCCCTATGAGGCAGCGAAACGTGTGAGGAGTGTGCCGAAATGGGGGCGACGCCCACAGGCGAACTGTGCCACTTGGACCTTAAGTGGAGCTCCCTATGGGGCCACGACGCGTTTGAGGGGTGCGCCGAAACGAGGGCGACACCCACATGCGAATTGTGCGGCATCAGGTGGAGCTCCCTATGGGGCCGCGAAACGTGTGATGGGTGTGCCAAAATGGGGCGGCGCCGCCATGCGAATCCTGCGACTGGGGCGTTCGGTGGAGCTCCGTATTGGGCCACGAAACGTGTGAGGGGTGTTCCAAAATGGGGCGGCGGCGCCATGCGAACTGCGCCACTTGGACTTTAGGTGCAGCTCTCTATACCCGATCGGGCCACGAAACGTGTGTAGTGTGTGTGTGTGTGTGTAATTGTGTGTGTGTGCGTGCGTGTGTCAAAAGTAGGGCGACGGCGCCATGCAAACTGCGCCATTGGGGCCTCAGGTGGGGCTCCCGATGGGGCCACGAAGCGTGTGAGGGGTGCGCCCAAACGGGGCGGCGGCGCCATGCGAGTTCCGCCATTGGGACCTTAGGTGGAGCTCCCTATGGCGCCAAGAAGCGTGCGAGGGGTGTGCCAAAATTGGGGCGGCGGCGCCATGCGAGCTGCGCCAGTGAGACCTTAGGTGGAGCTCCCTACGG